TTTTTTTTTTTTTTTTTTGGAAAAAAAATTATTTAGGGTTTTTGTTTTATGTATGTATGAATCGAAAGTAGGATTTGACGAATGATGTTTTATCTATATTTTGAAGTGATTATGCATCTAAGTTGTAACAAAGTGGCTTCAATTTTTGAGTGAAGTTGAAGTTATGATGTTCGATCTAGCTGAAAGTTAAGCTTTTTCACCTGAATCGAACTGTATGTTTGCTGCTATGTAGATCCAGTTGCCCCAATTTGGCTGGTTAATTTATTTAATTTTTTTGGAAAAAGGTTTTAAGCTAATAGCTTTGGAACGATCAATTTCCTCTTTCATTTTCTGGGTCATAAATAAAAATTGAATTTTTTATTTATGATATGAGTTTTTATCTTGTTTCATTTTACGTATCAATTTCCTGGGTACTATCAATTTTTTTAAAAAAAATTTTGAAGTAACTAAATTTTTGGTCATAAACAAAAATTTAACCTTTTGCTTTACTATGAGTTTTTACTTGCTTCATTTTACCTTCTAGTCCCTTTGTCCCAAAACGGTGATTAGGAGTACAAGGGTCAAAGCATTCAATCTTTGGTAAAAGTTTGAACAACAATTCTTTAAATCACGAAGTCGTGAATATTTTTTAAAGAAATGTTTGAAATTATTATAGTCTGATCAAGAATTATGCGACCTCAAATAGGAAGTGTATAATATGTAAAATGGGTCCCCTAAGAGGAGTGCTTCTTTTAAAGGTTAATTGGGATTATGCTAGTTGTTTTTGGTCGCAATCGTAGAGCTTTGTCTATTGTAGTTGGGAAAAGGAGAGGAAACGGTCTATTATAGTTTTTACTTTTAATTTCATTTCCATGTTTTGAGCTCTTTTCGTTGAAAAATGGAAAATGGAAAGGGGGTGGAGGAGCAGAGGATTGAAAAAGAAACGTTGTTGTGCTGGTAATTGAGTTCCTTTGTGTTGGCATTTACTTGCTTATTTTTGAACTTGAAAAGTATGATTACTCAAATTTCACCCTACTTTACTGTGGTTTGAAACCTCAAAATATGACTCTCAACGAACAAGGTTTATGCTTTTGTGCATGTCGATTTTATATGAAAATGTTCTATACTTTGTATTTGTAAAGTTTATACTATCCACAGATTCCATCTCTTCTTGACAGCTTGAGTGTGCTTAAAGCTGCTTTAATCAATTAAATTTATTTCCATTGACGTTCAGTTCATTTTACCAGCATGTTATGGTTGATGAAAAGCAAGATTGAGTAAAACCTACAGACTGAAAGTTATAGATTACGTAGAACGAAAGCACATTCCTTTCTTCTTTTAACTTCTGCTTAAATTGTGTTAATGTGTTGTACTGTCTCTTCATACAAGACGAATTTGCTGTGCTTAAGGCCCTTGCTTGATGACCTATTCTACTGTTTGATTTTCAGATTCTGACCTTAGTTGTTTAACTTGTAATGTTCTATGATTGTGTATGCAGGATAGTCTGTCGTGCCGTGTTAGCTGTACTGATATTCTTGTAGTTGTAGCTTTGGAGTCAACCATGTGATGAAGATTGTACCCAGGCCTTCTTAATATGTAAGTTCTATGTTTTAGAATTGGTGTTTCATTTTTATTTAAAAAAAGGAATTTCTGTTTCCTTTTCTATATGTAGTTAATCGACGTTTTATCAAATGATGTTGTAAAGAAAGAGAGAAATGGGATCCTTGCTCTGGCTTCTTTGAACAATTTGCAGTCACAATCTGAAGCTAGAACTATCTTTTAGAGGAACTAGTTTCTTGCATTTTAATGACTTGCGACTTGGCTTTAACAAACCATGCGCATAATTTTTTCTCTTATATTTTTAAAGAAGCAACTGCTCCTTGAATGGTTGGGTTACTAAAATAGTTCTGCTAAGAATCATTTACAAGTGATCAGCACTTGCATATGAGTTTGTGCCTACATTTGTGAGGCTCGGTGTATTGCTTGTACTTCCCTTTGCTCACTGCTCTCATGCATAAGAACTCTACCCAAAGCTTTCTGGATGACATAACTTCCTTTTACAAAAAAAATCAGGAGTGCCTCCACTAGAAATATTCTGGAGAAATGTGGAAGTGGGTAGAGCTTGTCTCGTTATAGATGATGTAAGAACTACAAATGTGGTAGGAATTTCTATTCTAACAGAAAAAACTGTATGCATTAGACATAGCACAAGTGATGAGTAAAACTTGTATAAGTTTGTTTTGTATTTATAAAACTTGCCTTCTCTGTTTCCAATCTCAGAGGTTTATAAGACAGATCAAGACTATAATCGAATAAGAAAATGTAACTATGCCTTCTGGTTGCTATGTCATTCTTGTTCTGCGAAGAGGCTTCACATTGATTTCATCATCAGGCTCTTTAGAATGCTTAGTCTGATTATACTTCGTTTTCCTTCAAATTGCAGACCTGCTTATTCAAAACATCGCCAGATTCAACTCTTTTTGCTACAAACATGTCTGCGTTACCGAAAAGTGATTCTATCCAAATTAGAGAGGTATGGAGCGATAATCTTGAGGAGGAATTTGCTTTGATCCGTGAAATTGTGGATGCCTATCCTTACATTGCCATGGACACTGAGTTCCCTGGGGTGGTGCTTCGCCCTGTTGGCAATTTCAAGCATATCAATGAGTATAACTATCAGACCTTGAAGGATAATGTTGATATGTTGAAGTTGATTCAGTTGGGTCTCACATTTTCCGACGAAAATGGAAACTTACCTATTTGTGGGAGCGAGCGTTATTGCATTTGGCAATTCAACTTCCGTGAATTTGACACAAGTGCAGATATATTTGCAAATGATTCAATTGAATTGCTGATGCAATCTGGGATTGATTTCAAGAAGAACAATGAAATGGGAATTGATGCAAAACGGTTTGGTGAGCTCTTGATGTCTTCTGGAATTGTTTTGAATGATGGGGTCCATTGGGTGACATTTCACAGTGGGTATGATTTTGGATACTTGCTCAAGCTATTAACATGTAGGACTTTGCCGGAAACACAAGCAGGGTTCTTTGATTTGCTTAACGTGTACTTTCCACTGGTTTATGATATCAAACACCTGATGAAGTTCTGTAATAGCCTTCATGGTGGCTTGAACAAGCTGGCGGAACTGTTGGAACTCGAGAGAATCGGTATTTGTCATCAGGCAGGGTCAGATAGCTTACTAACCTCGTGTGCCTTCAAGAAGTTAAAAGATAACTTCTTTAATGGCGCTACTGAGAAGTATGCTGGGGTCCTGTATGGTCTCGGTGTTGAGTATGGATCTGATAATAAATAGACTGACTTTGTGTACTTACTGGAAAATAAAATAGAGAAGGGGTTCAGTGTATGTCGAGCTGGGTAGGTTATGTATCATGTGTCTGTAAGAAATTAATTGTGATAAAGTATTTGTAAGACAGTTTGGACTTTCACTGAGGGTACTCAGTTTCTAATCCATTGTTTATTCAGCTTTGAGCATTTAAGCTAAACAAAGGTTTCTGTTTCGTTCTTTGGCCATTTCCAATTGTGTTGCAGCTTTATCTAAAGGATGCAGAAAAGAAAAGGATTCCCTCGACAAGAAGAAGGGATATAACAATTAGAATTTAGTTGCCAATTTGCCTATACCTTTATCTCTTTCGTGACAATTAGAATTTAGTTGCCCTTGCTTCATGCTTTTTTATACCAAGGGAAGCTGCTGACGCCTTGTTGGGGAATTGGGTGCGCGTACGGAGGAGATAAATGAATAATAACCTCAAGCATTAAAATTGGCAATTTACTTAAAATAAATTACCTTATAAGTACTTGAATAATCTTAAAAGAAAACCTCATGATGTGTCGAGATATTGACTTACTACATGTTCACTAGCTAAATAAAATCTTTATTTATTTATCATTACCTGTGCATAATGCTAGAGAACTTTTTCAAGTCCAGTTCATGTATATGTATCTCTTCCTAAATGACACGATATGGCTTCAGTTCCAGTTTATATAGTTTATCAGGGGCCAATTTTCTTTTATAATGGTAGTCTTCGGGTCAACTTGCGTGCATCTTAATTATTCTACTGAATATCCGTGCTATCTACCAACAACACGTGTATCGAGTAACTCTGTCCATCAACACATGTATTCATCAGATATATCGAGTAACTCTATCCACAAGCATATGTATCTACTGTTTTTTGTTTTTTTTTTGTATTACACATTTATTTGCCTTTTCAATATACCTGGGCGTTTCAGGTATGCTCAATGTTCATCGGGGCAGGAAAAAAATATACTAACTTTAGGGATACTCCCTACAGCTTTTTCACAAATAGGTAGACGGTTTTTGACATCATTTATAGTATTAGGTTTATTTCCAAAGTCAAATCATGAAGTTGTATGTATGTGTTGACATTGCTATATTACATAAATTACAAGGATAAGATGATAATTGGAAATTACAAGGATAGGATGATAATTGTAATGGTACAACTCAAAAGTAGGAAATACCAGGAGTAACTCTCTGAACAAAATTTCCTGGAATTTTCTGACCTATAATTACTCAAAACTGTATCTACGAGAAGCCTGACAAGAGCCAATAATCCAAAAAATGAACATATAAGAAAAATAACAATTCCTTTGTTCTCCATGTGTACCTGATTCCTCTGAACCTTTTCCACCTCCTTCCTGCATTTTGATGCAAATGTTAGAATAGCAACACAAGGCAGAAATAATGAGGACCCCTACAAAATATCGAGCAAAAGTAAAACAAATTTGCTTTACTTATGAATCATTATTATGAGAAATTGGCCAGCAGTTCAAAATATTTACTTCTAGCCATCTATAATTCGGTGTTAAACATGAAATCCAGGGGAAATTATACTGTGTCATTCGGCAAAACAAGGAAAGTAATGCAAGCAAATTCACACCGTTACGTTACGTCTGGGGACAAAAAGGAAAAACAAATAGACATCAACGTTACTATGCTAAAATTGTAACAATACATTATTGATGCTTCCTCGCAACATTGATGCTGTATGCATATATGGATTAGTTCATTTCAAATCCTCTAGTTAATGCATGAACTAATATTTCCGTGTTCAAAATTTCAAATACATAATTTCCAGATCAATTCAATGTAGATGGGAGCTTAGGTATCTTATAGTACAATGCTTCCTTTTCAAACTCCTCTTCTTGTGGTGAGGCATAAGTATCAAGTGGCGGGGAAAGTTCTTTTGAAAACTACATTTACCGGACATAAAACATGATTTCTGCACTAACTTTCGTTCGTTCAAATGGTTTCCTACTTCATTATTGTAGAGCAAAGCTCTACTTCACAAAAATGAAATTCCAGTATTTGTTGCTTCTCTATTATAAGAGGGATGATTCCTAGGTCATGTCACTATAATCTGCCTACTATCCTACAATTCAAACTAAAACATTTCCTGAAAGATAACATAAGACGTCATATCTTAAAGGAAGAGAAAGAACAGGATCAGGTCAAATAGAGACCTTATAAGTTATAACATGGCCTATTTAGAACACACTGATTCCATTATTAGGAGAAAAATATACCTGAGAATAGCATTTCCTCTGATAATATCTTCCAGCTGCGTGGAAACAAGGGATTTCCATGATACTAGGTCCGCAACTTCTTTACCCTGAGAGAAGCATTATGATTGAATATTTTGATCAGTAACATTGGCATAAAATTATCAAAAGCTTGTGCCATAGACAAGAATCTAGAGAAAAAAGAGAGCAAAGCTAAGAGGAAGAAATTCACATACTAAGGAATCCTTGCTTTCAGATAAACCCCTTATGTCTGATCTGATATTTTGAAGAAGTGCATCTTTTTCTCCCATTTCAGAATCGAAGTCTTTGAAAATCTTGCCATATCTAGAATTTAACTCTTCCAGATATCGTTCCAAAACTGACAGATTGATATCCAGAGACCGTACTTTTTTCATCAGTATCTTCAGACTGTCGCCGGGCATCCTATTTACCTGTTGATGACGGACTTCTTCCACTTGGTCAGGCACATCAGTTGTCATTACACCCCTTTTAACATCAGATTTTCCAACAGCTAGATCCTTTTCTATTTCATCATCAATATCTTGAACGAATTCACCTTGATTAGAAACATGTTGAGTGGGCACAGATTTCTCGTCACTATTAGTTCGTTCGGGTACAAACAACTTATCTTGATCAAAGATAAGATCCTCAAGCATCTTTTCAACAGCATCAACTCCGTACACCTCCAAAATGCTCAGTGTACAGTAGAACTCTGAACCATAATGGCTTAGAAGATTCAATTTAAGATATCTTACCCATTTTGGCTCTGGAAGAAGAAACCTTTGAGCATGCCTTATATTTCCAGCGGTAAAATTTCCAACTTTGATCCATGTGTCTGTTGGATAAATGGGACTGCCAAGGAGCTCAAAACCTTTTAGGTTAGACGAGTGATGTTCAAAATTTGCAACCTCGACTGTATCCACGAGGGTTTCTTCTGACAGTTCGATGACGACAAACTTCTCCTCAGCTGAGCAAGGATTACGAAGGTACTTGTCCTTATCTCTGCTCAAGATGTTGGAAGCACCTTTTGCTTCCTTGTTGTAAGCCAGGACTTTGGCTCCTTTTGAAGCAGAAGCATAATTATACTCTGATCCTCCAGGCTCTAACCTATGTATTATCCCTCCCGCCTGGCCACTTTTGCCCTGATTTTTTGCGTTAAATGCCTTGTTTTTGAATTCATCAAGACCTGGAGGCACGGCACGAGCAAATCTGTCGGATTTTGAAGCATCCTTTTCTGAACTTGGAGTTGACTCTGGTTTTCCCTCACTAGCCTGCTGTTGATTCGCAGGAACGGGGTTGCTGTTTTGCACAACATCCGGTGTTTCTCCGTTAACTTGATTTTTCCCTGCCTCTGTACATAAAATCTTTGCTGAGTCTTCAGAACTGATTTCCTGTGATGAAGTTTCAGTCTCGGGCAAAGCAGCACAAGTGCCGCTACCATATTGAGGTTTATCTTCATCCCATGATCCTACAGGTACTGGAAAATCTCCAGCTCCATCTAAATCAAACAAATATAACATGTTAAAGGCAAACAATATAGCTTTTACTTTCGAGAAATAGTAATGTCATGTAATGAAAAACAAATTTCAACTTCTAAATTAACTAAACAAAGATGCTAATAAATTAGTCGATTATGCACATATTTGCACAATTTGTATGCATCTTAATCACCCCTTTCCAACAAAGTGGAACCTGCGGACTTAATATCAAACTTAAAAGCAGTTGATGGAACTAACCTTCATTAACATCACCATGACCGATCCACAAGTTCAAAAGGAAAACAAGTGCCCACAGAACAGCAACTGCAGAAAGAGAAACTTTATAAACACGGTTCCTCCCGCAAGTTGTCTTCTCCAAAGCTCTTCTTCTTTGCAGAAGAGCCCTACGTGATCTCTGCATTGCACATCAATCTGATCTGCTATGACTCAATGATTAACAATCGCAAGACAAGCTAGTGAAAAAGGCCTATACCAGAAGAAATAAGACTTTTATACTTATCATCTTTCAAAATGCTGAATTCAGTCACAAGAGAAAATCATAACGATCTCGAGGTAACTCAATGATACATAATTTGACTCAGATTAGGTGCCAAAAAAATTGGGCAAAGATTAGCATTGCAAATTGATCATACCAATCAACTAGTCCAGTCATGTGCTCATAAACTATCAATTTCTAAGAAGTCAAGCATATAGAGTGCATAACAATTAACAAGTGGAAAAATAAAGCAAGAACATGACTCAACACTATACCAAATAAAGCATTTGATGGTCCTTTACTCTTCATCAATCTCACCACAGCTACTAATAACAAAAAAAAAGGGAAATGAAAAGTTTTGCTTCCGGCTAAAGCTTTTACATATATATGCATATTATTGGAATTGAAGCCAATTCTAAATATATACAAGACGAATAAGAATACGGAATTTACTACTCATCTGATATTCCAAATAAAACCAAAACGTACCCAAAAAATGGAAATTTCCCCTTAACACGTATTTGAAGAAGAAAATTAAGGAAAGATCCAAATTTGCTCAGTGACCAGATCATCAGACAGAAATCCCAGAATAGAAAAAAAAAAGATCAAAGAAATTACCAGATAGGAAAGACTCAAATTGTTGAACAGTATATTCAAATTAAACTATGAAAATGGCACATAATTCAGTACAAAGAAAACAAGAAAGCAAGATAAATAAGGCAACAAGTAAACAGGATCACCTGATATCAACTGAAGGATCTTCAAAATCCAAGAAAAAAAGATCCTCAAAATTGCTGAATTCCAATCAAAAAGATCAAAACGGATCTTTTTTTTTTCCTGCTTTTGTCTTTGCCGTTTCAACTCTTGTTTTCGTTTTTATATATTCAGTCTCAGATAATTCCAATCTAACGGCTTTCTCTTACAATCCACTATTCCTTTTTTTGAAAAAGTCT